GGTACTGTGCATTAAACTAAGCAACAGCGATTCGGTTTTCAGTGGTTGATCAAGCTTCACAACGGGTTTAAACCTAATTGATTTACCCAAATGAGACAGCCGCATCCAACGTAACATTAAAACACAATAGATATGACATTGGAGATTGAAACACATCTGAAAATCCAGTCTTCTTGTAAGCAACCAAACTCTTGGATCAGTAACCTCGAAGCTCTCCAGTCCTCCCAACGAATAGCGGGAAGCAAGTCTGCTGAAATAGGATTTGTGTTATAATTTACGAAGAAGATATCGCTCCATAAAGCCCTCATCTATCGACGAGCGACAAATGTCGCATGTAGCTCAACTTCCTTATCTTGTTAATTAAAGAATTTCTTCAGGGCGATTTCACAAATTCGATCGAAATTTTAGGACTAAATCTATGCGTGCTCCACGCACGCTTGATTGACTTACAAAGAAGTACCTTGCGGGGAGGTGATAGTGGATTGATATTTTTCTTCAAAAAATTAGGAAGATGTCCTGAGAAGATAGTGGAAAATAAGCTGTTAAGTACTTATGTATCTGAGGGACGCAAAATGAAAAAAGTAAGGAATACAATCGCACGGCGTATTTTACTTTGGGGCAGACGAGCTCTCGCCACCTCCCTGTCGCTGGTTTAACATATCGTGGCGAAATTGTGGATCGCGCCATGTCTCGTTCTAGTGACATTGACTTGTTAAAAGTCATCTCCAGGCTATTATTTGTCACGCTAACCAGCCTAATAAACGTGAGAAGGCCACTAACAGATATAACTCTGTACAACTTGAAAAGCTATATAATGGCGACTTGATTAGAGATTATATATATTTGAATCCAGAAAATGGTTGGAACTGAACAACCATGGACATTAGCCCTATAGAAATGTGCTTGTCTTAAGGATAAACAAATGCGTAGAGCTTGGTGGAAAAATTTGTTGATGTGCATTTATATTAAGCAACATGGCGTTTTGGTTTACAGCAGTTAATCAAGGTTCACAACAGGGTTGAACCTTTTGATTTACTCAAGTAAGACCCTGGCATCTAAACACAGCATTGAAATATGTGTTATTAGAGATTCAAACAAACCTGGAAATTCAATCTTCTTATAAGCAGTGAAACTCCAGAATCGGTGTCTTCGAGGCTCTACAGTTTTCTTCACAAACAGGAAGCTGGTCACCGTGTAAGAGATTGCTGAAAAAGGGTTTCTGTGTTGATCCACAAAGTTCGATGCAATCCACAAAGAAGACGAAGCCTTCTTCTATCGAAGAGCGACAAATGTTGCGTGAACCTCAACTTCCTCTTGTCAATGAAAGAATTTCTATAGAGCGATGTAAAAAATTCGATCGAAACCTCTAGACTAAAAGTATGGGTGTCCTCACAGGCAGCCCAAGCTCACTACGAGAAAAGCGGACGTGACTCTTACCGTGTTGCGTAACGTTTTATATTTATAAAGGTTAATTATATATGATATTTATAAAGCAGTTGAACACCAACATAGCGCTAACTCGCCGAAAACGCTTCAAAATGGCCTGAGACGTTCGGAATCAACAAAGAAAACAACAAGGCAATAAAGTGAGCCCATTATATTTCAAAACAAGACATTTTTTTCTCTCTTTTAAGGCAAACCGATAACATCCCATACAAACCTTTATAAATATAAAACGTTACGCAACACGGTAAGAGTCACGTCCGCTTTTCTCGTAGTGAGCTTGGGCTGCCTGTGAGGACACCCATACTTTTAGTCTAGAGGTTTCGATCGAATTTTTTACATCGCTCTATAGAAATTCTTTCATTGACAAGAGGAAGTTGAGGTTCACGCAACATTTGTCGCTCTTCGATAGAAGAAGGCTTCGTCTTCTTTGTGGATTGCATCGAACTTTGTGGATCAACACAGAAACCCTTTTTCAGCAATCTCTTACACGGTGACCAGCTTCCTGTTTGTGAAGAAAACTGTAGAGCCTCGAAGACACCGATTCTGGAGTTTCACTGCTTATAAGAAGATTGAATTTCCAGGTTTGTTTGAATCTCTAATAACACATATTTCAATGCTGTGTTTAGATGCCAGGGTCTTACTTGAGTAAATCAAAAGGTTCAACCCTGTTGTGAACCTTGATTAACTGCTGTAAACCAAAACGCCATGTTGCTTAATATAAATGCACATCAACAAATTTTTCCACCAAGCTCTACGCATTTGTTTATCCTTAAGACAAGCACATTTCTATAGGGCTAATGTCCATGGTTGTTCAGTTCCAACCATTTTCTGGATTCAAATATATATAATCTCTAATCAAGTCGCCATTATATAGCTTTTCAAGTTGTACAGAGTTATATCTGTTAGTGGCCTTCTCACGTTTATTAGGCTGGTTAGCGTGACAAATAATAGCCTGGAGATGACTTTTAACAAGTCAATGTCACTAGAACGAGACATGGCGCGATCCACAATTTCGCCACGATATGTTAAACCAGCGACAGGGAGGTGGCGAGAGCTCGTCTGCCCCAAAGTAAAATACGCCGTGCGATTGTATTCCTTACTTTTTTCATTTTGCGTCCCTCAGATACATAAGTACTTAACAGCTTATTTTCCACTATCTTCTCAGGACATCTTCCTAATTTTTTGAAGAAAAATATCAATCCACTATCACCTCCCCGCAAGGTACTTCTTTGTAAGTCAATCAAGCGTGCGTGGAGCACGCATAGATTTAGTCCTAAAATTTCGATCGAATTTGTGAAATCGCCCTGAAGAAATTCTTTAATTAACAAGATAAGGAAGTTGAGCTACATGCGACATTTGTCGCTCGTCGATAGATGAGGGCTTTATGGAGCGATATCTTCTTCGTAAATTATAACACAAATCCTATTTCAGCAGACTTGCTTCCCGCTATTCGTTGGGAGGACTGGAGAGCTTCGAGGTTACTGATCCAAGAGTTTGGTTGCTTACAAGAAGACTGGATTTTCAGATGTGTTTCAATCTCCAATGTCATATCTATTGTGTTTTAATGTTACGTTGGATGCGGCTGTCTCATTTGGGTAAATCAATTAGGTTTAAACCCGTTGTGAAGCTTGATCAACCACTGAAAACCGAATCGCTGTTGCTTAGTTTAATGCACAGTACCAAATATTTCCACCAAGCTCTTCGTTCTCGCTCATTCCTTGAAGTCAAGCGTATTTCCACGGGCTGATGTCCATGTTCGTTCGAATTTAGTCTCTTTTTCTGGATTCAATTCTGTAATGAGTTAATGGGACTACATCTCTTGCGTTTAGGTCGAATTTGATGCTATTTATTTTAGTGATAACTACCTCTATCCAGTGGCTGTAATAATACTTTGCATAAAACTCGTACTATGCTGATTGAACAAATTCAATATGCGTCGATATCAAACGCCAATTCTATGACTTATGTGACCGAGGCAGGTTCTGATGTTGTTATTTGAACAACGAGACAGACTTATAGCCACAATAAAATTTATTTATACAGGAAAGTACCAAAAAAATAATACTGATAAAAAGAAAGGGTGATTGCAAGCTAAAAGAAATAATAAATGACAAATAACAAATCATTAATTTAAAATAATGAAATAAAACAATTAGTAAAAAATACAATCGATTGTCATACAATAGCAAGGCACTAACAAGACAACTTTAAAGCATTGCATGACAGAACAGTAATCATTGTGTGACACTTAAAAAGACTTAATCCTCTTAACCAAACATAGAACTATTGAATGGTGGGCTATTCTTAGAATTATACATGAAATGACTGAAAACAAGTCAATACTGATAAAACAATAGCTCAAAACAACATAACATTAGATAAGACTAATTTCAATCACAATTTCATATTTTCCTT